ATTCTGTGCTTTACAAGGTCTGTGCAGCCGAGGTCATGATCTCCTTTTGAAAAAACGTCTGCATAATTCGCCAAAAATAATCTAAACTGAAGACCTTGTGATGACGACAAATGCACTATGCTCTTCTTATAGAGGTCAGTTAAATGTTCTGGGAGAGGATGTTCTTTCTTTATGGTTGTATTTCTTGCCTTAACATTGACTAGCTCTACCTCCTGGCACACACCCAACAATGCCCCTTCCTTAAGTGTCTGTTCATATTTAGAAAAATTAGCCACTGTTATGGGTAGTACTTGATGACCTGCCACAAGTGACCTTCCAATCTTTACATCTACTGGCCTGGATGGGTCTTCCACTGCTTCCACAAGCACCAGGCTTCCTTGGGGATGTTCTTTTATTCTACCTCAAATTATCTTCTCTGACATAGGTGGTATTGTAGTTGACTTAAGTGTTGTGATGTGCAAATCAACAGATGCAGCAACGTTTACCGAATTTGGCCTTTGTTGTTCCCAAATGTCGTTTTATCAAAGTTAATTACACACTTCCTCGTTAGTACGTAGTCCAACCCTAATATGCACTGGTCTTCAATGTCATCCAAGTATACTTTGTGTCTGTCCTTTATGCCCATGAGCTCAATAGTTACCCACACTGGTCCCCACAACTTTGTATAATGTCTTGTCACACCACAGAGCTTCTGTATGGCTTCTGGTGCTCTGTGATCTAGCACCTTGATACTCTCAAAGGTTTGCTGAGATGCAGAATCTATGACAAAGTTGCACTTTTGGCCATCCAGCTTTGCTGTCAAGTAGACACTATGTGTGCTTGCCATTTTACACTTAGCTGTTGGGACTTTCACAATGGGGGATGGTTGGCATCCCTTAACACCAAACACTACTGGTTTCCCTGAGACTGACTTATTGGTAGTATTCTTCTTGCACTGGCTCTTCATATGTCCTTGCTCTCCACAGTTCCAACAACCTTTCTGGGTAGCAGCCTTTCCTGCCTTGGCATCTTCCCGGTGTTGAAGTTGCCAGCATTGAGCTCTCTTGTGCCCAGGTTTGTTACAGTGCCAGGAAAGTCCCTCAAACTTCTCAGAAAGCTGCCCTTTTCTAGCCTTGAATCCTGATGACTGTACCAACTTTGGTACCTCTGTGCTGGACTTAATGTAGGATTCAAATTCAAGAGCTCTCGCCATTACATCCTGCATAGTAGAGGGGTGTGCTTGCTTCACTTGTATCTTAAGTTGTGGACTGTCCAAGGCATCTACAAATTGATTCCTCAGCAACAGCTTGAGGACATCAGGTGGTGCAGTTGGGTAGGCCTTGTGTGCCATACTTTCCAAGTCCTGTGCCAGCTCATGCAGGCTCTCTCCTTTAGCACGAACTCTCATCCTAAACTAGCCCTTTAGACTTTGGACTGATTTTGAGTTCCATATCTGAGTTCTAGTGCAGCTACCAGTGCTGCTGACAACTGTCCAAGTATTTCCAGTGGTTGTCCCTTCAGGCTCGTTGCCAGGTACACT